AGGAAGAGCTCCAAATGCACTCACCTCTTCGCTTGGGATGCGCCATGTACTCAGACGAATGTGATGCCTTTGAAGGGGTTTTGCTCTGAATAAAAACTCTTCTGGTTCAACCAATTGGCGACCGAGCTTTTATATTGTCCTTACATTAACCTTTCTTTATTTTCTCCTATATCAGTAGTAAGAAATGAATGATTCCTGGACCGCAAAGCTTCAAGGTTCTCTAGAAGGCTGTGAGCTCAGCTGATACATGAAAACATGAAAAAATTATAGGAACACCTGATAAATAGTATAAATACCCCAGTGAGCCAAAAACGTGCGTCCTGGCATGGTCGCCAACGTGTTAACTTAATTTTTAAATTAATTTAACTTTTTTCAATTTAACTTTTCTTTAAATTTTAATCACCGCACCAGAATAGAAAGGCATGTGCACGGCGTCCTGTTGTTATCCAATTTCCATGCTCTTCGTCATCTGTCAATCTGATCACAACCCATTTCCGCTTTAACCGTTTGAATAATCATCTACTGTACGGATTGTGAGACTAGAGGATTCTCTTCGATTTTTTTTTCAATTAATTAGTTTTTATATTCCCCTCTCCTCGTCAAATATGCTTCTTTTCACGGCCGGGCTACAGTAAAGCCTACAATCTTTCTTTCACGACTTCAAAGGTGGTTGAGCTTCCTGTTGCTTAGAGCAAAGGGATGTGGGAATGAATGCAGTGTCGATGCGGTGTGTTTTACCAGTTCTGCTTGAAGAAATCCAAGATGGAAGTGAGCGCTGAACTTATTCTTTTGAACCTTATTTTCACACAACTTTTAGTTTTCGAATCCTACCCCTCTCCCCTCCTGAATAAAGCCAGTTCCCCGATGAGATAGGGTCGCTTTGGTGCATTCCTGACATTCTAGCGCTTTCCCCCGTCTTAACCCCGAAACGACATCTGCCGGTGACCGCCCGTTGCACCCGCCTGTCCCACCCGAGCGACGGCAGCGACGGCGTTGACCAGAGGGTGCGCGAACGCCGCTCCTGCGGTCGTCGATCGATTGGACGTCGCGTGCGGCTTCGCGCGCGACAGCAGCCAGCAGGGGCTGTCGGCGATGCATGCGGCGGCGGACGTACGTGGTCATCGGAGACTGACGAAGTCATCGCACACAGCCGGCGGCCGCTTTCTGGCCGAACCGCCAGCTCCCGCTTGGGATCGACGTCCCGGCGATCGATTCCCCTACGTAGGCGCTGGGTGCTATGGCTGTCGCTACTGCGCCTGCGTTGCGCCGACCGATCGATCCCCACGCTATCGATCGACTGATCGGAAGCCGCACAGCGCACATCCGGTGCGGTGCCCTCTGCCTTTGTACGAGTGTGAGTGTGAGCGTGTTGTGACAGTTCGTTGGCGAGTTTTCTCTCCTTCTCGTCCACTCCGCCTCCGCTCCGCGTATCTCTCGCCCATCGTTCTTCCCTCGAGCCTGATCGCGTGAATTCCACGAAGGTTCTCATGCAAAATCGAGCCCTACTTCGATTCCGCGAAGGCTGGCTGAAACAACCGTGGGCCTGGCCCGTTTCGCGCTCTTCTCAGCACTTTTTACTCCTTACACCTATTGATTAGAAACAGATCCTGTTTCCACTGTGTTGTATAGAATTCCATTTCGCTCATGCCTCTCGTTTTCTACGAATCCTGCTCTTTCATAAAATTATCTTTCTAGAATTAGAGATCTGGTCACTTTAAAAAACTTCTTGAATTTCAAGCATTTTGACTTTTTTCAAGCATCAATTGGATCATGCCGATATCGTTATTTCTGCTGAAGCGTTGTGATGTATTTTTTCTCTCACACTTTTCTATCCTTCCGAATTCTCTCTTCTTTTTCTTTTGTGCTCCTGCCGTTTCCAATTTATCGCTCGGCTTTTTTTCTTTCGCGATTATGTGTGTTAAGTACTAGTATGTCCACGTTTTTCATGCCGTCGTCGTTGTTCCCACGCACAGATCCGCCTTCGCTCATTATCACTGGTTTTAGATTGAAACAGAAGTTTCTTCTTAGGAATTTCTGTTTTCCTCTTCGCGCTCGGCTAGTGCGCCCTTTCCAGCCTGTGAAAGTTTGGCGTAACTATTGATTTATTTGTTTTGGTTTCCAGTTCGAAGAAAACACACGCTTCCTGATATGGTGAGCATTTTTATGATTTTTAAGGAAACGGATACATTTATTTCTGTCTCTTTTTTCTTTAATTTCTTTATATTATGCTAGTAATTTCAAAATCCCTTCCCATTACTTCGAAGTCCAGTGAGAGTTTATGTAATTAATTGGAAACCATGATTCTTTTTTCGTGTAGAAACTATGTGTTCAACATGATTCTCGGTGTTCACAACTTTTTTTGGTTTCTAAATTTTGAATTTGTTGGAAAAAAGTGAACGTTTGATAACCGTGAGGTACGCCGCCATACCTCTTTCTACACAGGCAAATAGAGGTTGTTTTGAAGTTTTCGCTAACATTCTTCGTCGCGATAGACTATTGTATAGATGGATCCTGCATTTATTTTTCTTTACGGTGTACGACCAACCTTTATGTAGCGGAACCCAGTTCCCGTTTCTTGTCTTCATAATGAAAGGTTGTTCAGCTAAGACAGCCCAGTCTTACTTTGGAAGTGTAAATTTTTGGTCTGCTTGATAGTGCAATGCTTTTTGATGCGGAGCGTTGTAAACGGGGTTCTGATCATGATCGAGCAATTTTTTTTCACCCGTTTAGAGTCCGCCTGCTTATACGATTGCTTCTAATAGAATTGCATTACGAAACGCTCTCTGAAAAATATTTCGGCTATCTGGAAAATATTTCATGAATAGACAAAAAAGAAACACAAAGAGGCGGCTGCGTCTCAATAAAAACATCAGATTCAATCATGGGATTTGAGATCGGGAAGTATTTCTCCAACTAACTATGTAAATAAAAAACTGCATGACTTTTTGCTCTATTTAAATGAGGTACACTGAAGGTGTGAAATAAGCGAAGTAACGCAATGTTTCCCTGTATTCAACTGCTCAATACTTTCTTAGTTTTCTTCCCTCACACTATCAGATCAAAACTTTTGCGCTTTGCAGAGCCAGGTTGACGGAATATACGCTAACCATGCACTACTGACTATCATAAATGATTTGGTGGTGAGTCTATACTCTTGGACACTTAGAGCTGTAGCTGTTTGACAGATTTTCTGCTGTCTGTTGCTTGTTCAGGCTCTCGTTTTTGTGTTATTTCCTTGTGTGAATGTTGTTCCTTATGTAAGAGTATCTACCGTTATTACAGGGCAAGGAAGTGTTGGTAGAGGCAGTTGACGGGGCGAAATATTCGGGGATATTTACTGCATGCTCTCCAGAAGTGAGTCTTACATATAATCTCGATAATCTTTCCTCTCATTGGACTCTTTCCTTTTTTCGATAATTCGTAATTGAGTGCAAGATGTTGTATCTTATCGAACAAAAGTGCAGCGGTTTCAGTTTGACATTGGTTTACGACACGCGTATAAAATCACAACGGGTAATATGACGAATCTGCTACCGAAAAAGGAGGACATGACCACTAAAATGCTATTCAAATTCAGTGATATAGTAGCGATGTCAGCTCTTATGAATGAAGAAAAAATGATTAGAGGTAGGTCTGTCGCGTCTTTCCCGGTCCAGTTCATGTTTGATTGGTTAGCTTCTAAACGGTATTTATGCCGTCATTGTTCTTTTATCTAAAGTGGTGCTCCAAAACTTGGAACTCTGAAGAGTCATGAGTTGAAAGATGTGTTTGTAGCTAGGGGGCGAATGGAAGCAGGTCCGAAGTGGGGCTATGCTCGAGTAGTTCTACTGAAAGGGCAGATATGGGACGTTCGAGATGTTTTAATGTTCTATACAAGTGGTGCTTATTATTCGACGTCATAATTTATGGCGCCGTTCCTCTGATGATTCACTTGCTACAATTTTGAATTGATTACGATTTTTTTCGCGATAGGGATTGATTGTTGTTTACGCGAGTTCCACCGAGTTCCAAGCACTGCGTGTCTCTAGAAAATGCTGACTCTGATAATCGCAGTTTGTTGACAACGAAGAGTCAGCTGATCGAAAACAAGCGAATATTTGAACGATGATTGCGATTACCTCGTCTAGGGAAACACGGTGCCAAATGCGATAAGTAGCACTAAAAAGCAGTTAGGAAATCGATTTACAGGGTTTGCCACAGACCGTGACTACCATATCAAGCAGCAGAATGGACGTCTTGGTGATGAAGAACACGAACTGCAAGAATGGAGTGCAGACGAAGATGCCGAAGAGATTGAGCCCCTAGACCAAATGGTATGATGCTCGCTTTCCTCTATTCGTTATTCAGCTTTTCTGTTCAGATTATACAAACTGTATCCTCAAATGCGCTGCTTTCGTGGCGAGAAGTGAATTTGTAAGCGATGAGTCATGTACGTGGTTGTTTCAGCCAGATCAGCGTCAGCGATATCAGCGCAACAATGGCTGGAATGTCGAAGAGATGTTCAACACAAATTCGCAAATGGGTGTGCAATCGACCTACGAAGAAGACCTTCGTCAGTATACAACGTGAGTTTCAACTTGTTTTGCAGTACTTCACCATTACATCGAGAACCACTTTTCTCGACTTGTTTGAAAGGGTGAATTCCTGTAATGATGTCATTGATCCCATTTTCGGCTGCAGACAAGTGGCTTAGTCATCTCCTAAATATAGTGATCTTTATTCACTGTTTCATGAGGATTTTGGTGAATCTTGAATTGGTTTTGGTTTTTGGTGAAAACATTTACTTGGTCCCGAGGCTTTTTACCCATGCGTTCTGTAAAGTATCTTGAGAAATAAGAAAGAGCATTGGTGCTACTCGGAGAGAAAATAGTTGACTTTATGTTGTGATGATGATAGTGTCGTTTTTGTTAGTCTGCCATGTGGTGGAGATGAGTCTTATAAACACGCTTTGACCGCTTTCCTGCCCAATGGCACATATTAGTGAAACGTTGGGATGTGCAGAAAAGATTTACTCTTCCACGGACTCTGCTCTTTGCTTTAGTCAGCTGCTTGGCCTAAGGAGTTCGATGTCTCTATTAGTGTTTAGACATTTGGCGATAGGTAATTAGTGAACCAAACCTTTATAGTGAGTCTTGGAGTAGTGAAGGACGTACTTTTCGGAGTACGGGGTATCTCAGGGGGATTGTACCATAAATATGAAGAACTTATGGACACGTTTTTGTGTTGCCGTGATGAGCTATGTAAATTTCGAGAAGCGAGATAAGTAAAAGTCAAACGATCTGTTCTGAAAAGGCTAGCAGTGCCCTTGCTTTGTGCAACGATGATATCGCCTCATATGTTTCTGCTTATGCATGCATTTTGGTCTTAGGCCAAAGAGTCCTGAAATAAGTGCCCAAAGTGCATGATCGGCAGTTAAGTCGGCCTACCACTTAGTGGTGTCTTATGCTCAAAAAAACTGTCACCGACCGTTGGAATGTGCCTATGCTAGTGAATTCAAGATTGGTCTTCTTCAGCCCTACACCTTGCTCGGCGGTAGTAATTATTCTAATTTGACGTTCGTCTCCTCCATTAAACTTCCCTCCATAAACTTTAATAACACTTCATTGTGGTAAGTGAGTGGGCTGGCATTTTGTGTTGGAAATGAAACTCTGTGGAATGCGGGGGTGAGATGTGATCAGTTCGGCTTAGTAAATTTACTCCAGGTTCCATCATATTTTTTCTTGCGCGCTATATTTTTAAGTCATTTTTCGAAATATTGCTTTTTTTAAATGTTAATGCACAGGAAAATATGGCTTCATAAAATCTTGATTGCGCCATAATAGAAGGGTCATATGATCTAGGTGTCAGATAATGTTATTTTCATTGGTGCCACTACAGAAGTTAGGAAGCATTTCCAATTCACGAGTCACGGTGGTATGGTGATTTGCCATTTATGATAACCGATAAGTACCACAACCTAAGTTTCGATGGAATTCATTTACTTGAACTTATGAATGACGAGGTAGTGTACATGTAATAACTGTACATGTGTTCAGTCCATTTGGAACCTATTCATTGTCAGCCATTCGAGAAATGTTTTTGACCTTGACTTTATCACACAAAACATTAGTACCTGTTGAAATCGTTGAGAGAAGCTACCGCTAACCTTTTCAGCTATTCTCTTACATTGAATAGTGATGGCCTGGCAATTGTTCTGAGAAAAAGTTCAATTACAGAGCCCCAGTGGAGGGCAACGAAGAAGATCGTCGACGTGCGGACCAGATCGCAAGAGAAATCGAAAACAGCCAGCAGAGCAAGTTCAATGCTCGGCTTGAGAACGACGACGATGAACGCGACCTTGATAAGCAGACTACTGAAGAGGACTTTGAGGTACAATCTAAGCGAGGAAGTGGCTCTGGTGGGCAACGGTGAGCACATTTTTCATTATGTCTATGTTCTGTCAGAACAAAAGTGTTGTGACAATTTAATGATAAGTGTATGTTTTCCATCTTTTTCCAGTAGTTTTTCGGCATGAAACGTATATTTGAAGGTAAGTTGTTGTAAAAGGACTCAGAGGCGAACTCATTATTCACAGCTGATTGTAAAGTTCTCCAAGAGTAATCGAGTGATAACAGGAAAGGAAGCATCAATGGATAAAGCAGAGGGGGAGGAATATCTTTTTAACTATATTTTTCTACGTTGAGATTGCACCACAACTTTCCATGTTCCTATGTACTTTCTTTGGTACATACGTAGGTTGCCTTTTATATTTTGAGATTTGAGAACCGAAACAAATACTATTTATTGAAAACCGGTTTACTGTCTTTCAAAAATCTCCACATTAAGATCTATATACTTTTGTATGGGCTCGAACCAATTTTCGAAGCACTTTTGCCACTCTGATGTAGGTAACTCTAAAACATGGATTCTGAACGCATCAACGGCTTCTTCAGGTGTCGAAAAACGTTGACTTCCCATTTTATTTTTTACGTACGGGATGAGAAGAAGTCACCCGGGGGCTACATGGCTTATGACCTGTCAAATCGTTGTTTTGAGAGCTCAAAAATGGAGTTGTTTGAGCCGATGTGTGGGAGCTCGCATTGTCGGGGTGAAGAGTGTTCCGTCTGCAGCATTTTTTTTCCCTGATTTTTTGAAAGTCAACTGACAAACAAATGGTGGTATACCACTCAGAATTAACTGTTCTGCTTGTCCTAGTGGTACGGTTGCGACATGTCCAGTTTTTCCAAAGAAACAGTAGGTCGATTTCTCGGAAGTGCCTGGTGCGCGGACGGCTTTTGTTGGATGTGGCTCATCTTGGAATACCCATACGGTCGACTGCTGTTTCCTTTCGGGCTCATACGCAGAAATCCATGATCCGTCATCTGTTTCGATGCTATAGACGTGTTTCGAAGCACCGCGATCGTATTTTTTGAGCATTTCTTTCGATCAATCGACACGAGTCCCTTTTCTGGAGGATCGACAAATTTTTCAAAAACAATTTTTT